GCCATATAAGGCTCTTTTTAGCCTTAGTACTTAATTAGGCTTTTTAAAGCCTCTAGAGTACTTTATATAGACTATTTCGTTTAAAAGGCTGTTTATAAAGGCATTTATAGCATCTAGCTGTATAGCTTCTAAGTTAAATTTAGCTAATATAGCTATAATAGGCCTAAAGCTTCTAGCAGCTAAGGTAGCTGCATAGGTATCTTTTTTATTATAAAGTTATTAGTCCTCTTTAATATATAATCTAGCTTTTAGTTTAACTAGATAGCTAAATTTATCTAGCTTATACTTAAAAACCTAAGTAGTATCTAGGGCCTTAGATATAGCTAGATTTTGTTAAATAAGCTTAAATGTTTCTTGCTGCTAATTTATACTAAATTCTTATTTAGCAGCTTTTTAAAAGTCCTTGCTAAATTTATAGTGCCTTAAATCTAACTATTTTAGTAGTTTAGAGAGCAAATTTAATATATATAGGCTCTCTTTAGCCCCTTAGAAAAAGCTGCTTATATAAGCTTGCTTAGTCAGCCCTTTAGCTGCTAGCGCTATTTCCTAATTTAAGTTAGCTGCATTGCTAGCCTAAATTATATTGCTAGCTTTATTAGCTATATAATGTAATATAGAGCTTAAATAGCTGAATTAATCTGTAATATTAAGTAGTTGCTTAGATAATTAATTTTCTGCTTCTAGCTCCTTAAATAATAGTTAATTTAGCTAAATAAGTAGTTTTTCTATAGATATTTAACTAGATAAAGGTTCTTCTAATTAAGTAGGCTCTTTAAGGTATGTAAAATCCTTATATTTATTCTTATCTTTAATATAAGCTAGTAGGTGTATTTCTATCTAGCTTTTAATAGGTTTAAAGCTCTCTATAAAGTAATAATTTAGTTTAGCTGCATTACTAGCCTAAATTATATTGCTAGCTTTATTAGCTATATAATGTAATATAGAGCTTAAATAGCTGAATTAATCTGTAATATTAAGTAGTTGCTTAGATAATTAATTTTCTGCTT